GATAACCATCATCTTTACCTACGAGAAACAGCCCTTCATGCCGCAATCGCTCGAGGAAATGTTGACGTGATTAAAACCCTGTTGAGCGAAAACCACAGTGCTATCAATTGTCCAAATTCTGCGAGAAGACTCCCCTTGCACGAGGCCGTTTACGCAAATAATTATAACATTTTAGAAACACTGTTGAAGTTTGGAGTGGATCCCAATGTTCAATGTGATGAGAGAATGTTATCATCGAGTACTGGTTCCCTCACAGTGGGCATGATGCTTCCAACTCCTTGTCCGTGTGGATTTGCTTCTTTGCACATCGCTGCTAAGCATGGCTATCATAGTGTTGCCGAGATGCTCATCAAATACAAAGCAGATCCTGATGCGTTTGACTGTAATGGCTCCACGCCACTTCACATCGCCTCCTGCCACAATAAGCCATCCCTTATAACACTTCTGGTCAACAGCGGAGTAGATATCGATGCAAGAAGCCTAAATGGATCGACACCCCTTCACAGCGCCGCGTCGTGTTTTTCAAAGGACATTTTCGGGCATCTGTTTGACCTGGGATGTGATTACCGAGCAACTGATGACGAGGGAATGACGGCATTACACTATGTGGTAAAAGATATAGCACACGTAGGTTTTGAGTATTTTGCAGACTTGTACGTGACCATTCCTAGGGGTTGGATTGAGAAACATTCTGGAGCCTCTGAGACGATCATAAGCGAATTGGATACTCAATATCCTTGGTTAAATACCTTCATCAAGCTTGTTGAACTGGTTAGCAGGAAAGAAAAAGCTTATAAAATTACTGCTTTAGCCATGTACGACCATAGAAATCGAACCGTCTTCCATATATTAGAAGAGAAAACCAATGCTTTCATCTATCTAACAGGAAGCAATCGCCTGAGCGAAAGTTTCCTTGTGCTCTCCTTAACTCCTTTAATTCCTTCCTTCGACATCGTAATTTCTGAAAGGGTGAAGAACCGTGTTGTTGCTTTAAATAAGCCATACGAACAAGCTTTGGTTGCAACGTCTTTAAAGAAGGTCATATCGCGAGCGTATACATCAACATTTACAAAGTTTAACTGCTCAGATCTGCTTGATTATGTGAGACGTCATTACGTTTATGCCGCCAACACATTATTGCAAGCAGGTGTGGGCGTTAATTGTCGAGGTGCCTCGGGGTTAACTCCTCTGCTCGTTTATTTGCGTATCGGTGGCCGTCATATGTCCAAAGTTCTTGTAAAACATAACGTAAAAGTGGACATTGAGTGTGGAGATACCTTCGTGGACTCAGTCTTTCACCTAGCATCGTATCACAAACTGCATTATCTTCATTACCTGTACGAATATTTAATGGGAAATGATAATTGGCAAAAATATTTGCAAACAGAAAATGCATTGTTCGACTACTTTCTGGATAAATACGACGAGCACGTTGACAAGCGGTATCTGAAAACAATTAGGACCGGCGACGGACCACTGACCTTGGCGATTCTGTCTCATCCGGACGGCAGTAACGTTATAGACGAATGTTTTGATGCAGAGGGTTATAACGCTCTACATAGAGCAGCTCAGGGTGCAAACTTGGTAGCAATTGAAAAATTCCTTTCTTTAGGTGCTAACATTAGTGTAAAAACTCATGATGGCTTCTCCCCTTTATGGCTTTCAGTATTATATGCTGTAAAATACAGGCCTTTTTTAAACCTCGAAGTACCCAGTGCTCTTACAGCTTTAGAGGTTGAATTTGCTTCACTTTCGGCCTTAACTATTTTGAATCATCTCCAAAAAAATGGGACATTAGATATTGGCTGTAGTGAAAAACGTTCTGATCTGACCCTTTACCACGTTGCAGCCACTCGAGGCATGTGGCAATTTATTACACATTTGCTCTCTAGCAGTAAAGTTATCGGCGTTGATGTGAACTGTCCCAATAAAGATGGTATTACTCCAATGTACTTGGCGATGTTTATTGGCGGAGACTCGTGCGAATGGCACAGTCCATGGTGCATAGTTGTCGATGTGATAAAGAGCTACGGTGGTACTCTTCGATATCCCTCGCTAGAAGCAGAGTACTTCCTCATCTACAATATATTCTTTGGAATGAATCCTAGCAAGCTGTTTCTTGAACTTACGGAAGATGAGATACTAACTCTTCAGGAAGGCTGTGGGCGTGATGAATGCCGAAAATACAAGGCTGCAAACGTCAACCTTTTCAGAACATCTAACGAAATAGATAGAATTCACGTCGATTACCAGAAGAAGGTGGACAAATGTTCTTCATTCATAGCAGAATGTCCAGCTGACATAAAAAGGGGTTTACCTCATTTTACAATTGTGGTGTATTTCCTTGACCGCCAGCAGGCCCTAAAATTTAGATTTTTAGACACTCGAAATTCACTTGTTACTTTCCTCGACGCTGAAATCGAGCGACTGAAGAAGCTTTTGTTTTCGGCTTCGAGACCTCACGCAGAAATGCCTTGTAGAAAAGCTCCGAAAGATAACAAACCAAAGGAAGACACCATTGATATGTGTTACCAGTTTCGTGGTAAACAGGATCTCGAAACTTTACTTCACAAGTACTATCGCATTTACAAAGGGAACCTCGATTTAATCCTGGAAAAGTCAGATGAAGTAAAATCGCACATGCCTGTAAATGGTAGACTTCCACGTTTTTTAACAAAGATGAATTTTGCATTAGCAGATTACGATACCTCTTTAAATTGTGACTGGCAAGCAATTGCAATCAAGTATGTGCAGCTTAGTTTCCAGGTACGCAATTTGAACTATTGGATTCAGGTTTCCCACGAAACGTCCACAGTACCAAGCGTATCGGGTTTTCTTTCAAAAAGAATGGAAGGTGCTATCCTGCAGCACTCAGAAGAGTCTCTTAAGCTTATTTTCAAGCTTGCATCCGGACACCCGACTGAAGCTTTTAACTATCTAAGAATTCTAAGATTTACACGGCCACCTATGTGGTATGAAACATTTTCTGATGTAGGAAACTTTGGGCAGGGCATGGGTCCATAGGAGAGTAATCATTTATATCCAATGACACCTAATTTAAAGACTTTCAAAGTATTCAATTCGGCTAAATTTTAATGTACTGATTGATTCATACAAAATTACTGAGAGACATGATTGGATGGACACAGCAACAGCAAGTACGCCCGAGTTTTCGGTCTAAAAGGCTCGTAGAAAAAGATGAATATTTTGTCTTAGTTAAGGAATGCAGACCGTGGATTAAACAGGTTTAACGGGCCCTCAATCATTAACCGTCTGTCCGCAGTACTCGTTCACATGTCGTATCTGACGATTGTTTTGGGTGATCCTACTTTTCCTAATTTTTTTTTACCTATATAAATGAAACCTTTTTGTGAAAATCGTTTTTACTTCGATGTCTAAACTTGAATTGTGGGCAAGGAGGGATGTTGCTTTCTTGTTGAAAATTCAACTACAAATTTTTATAAATTTTTATCAATGACAGATCGAGCTGCTAAAAATATCTTTTCATAATGCCTGATCGAGCTGCTTAAATATCTTTTCATAATGCCTGAATAACAATAACATCACAGCTGAAATCATTTTCAAAAAGTAGTAGTCCTCAATCTTCGAAAAATGCAACATTTCTCTCCACAAAATCTTCAGATTAGGTGCGATTACTTAATTGACTAATTCTTTGTAATCCGTTTTAAGTATTTCAGTTAATAATTAGAACACAGCAGTAAAATTTGATCATGTAGTCCGATCGTTCTGCTCAGAGTATTCCGGCTGAGAAGGACTATTGTCGGTAGTGGTGACTAAAGTTTGGACAACCATAGCGAAAGTCATCATTAAAGTCCAGTGCGAGTCTTCTGAGTATAGCTTCAGTTCAGGTTGTCCAAACTTTAGTCACTTCTACCCACCAAAGTCCTTCTCAGGTCGACTCTCACACGAACGATGAGCCCAACACAATCAAGGTGTGAAGCATTTGCAAAATCCCTAAATGTCACTTAAAGAAATTCAACGTAAATTTCCGAACTAAACTCGGCAAACAACAACAAACATATGAAACATATGTATGAACTGCGGTTATGAAACGTATATGTGCACGATCCTTCGCAGTAAAGCACTATTTGAGCAATAGTGAAAATCAGACCTGAAAAAAATTTCAGGCCTGTACGGGATTCGAACCACTGACCTCTGCGATACTAGTGCAGCGCTCTACCAATTGAGCTAACAAGCCAACTGGGAGCAGGCCATCAAATTAATTCGACATAAACCCGTAGATGATAAATCAAACAACAACAAACATATGAAACATATGTATGAACTGCGGTTATGAAACGTATATGTCCAGAGGTCAGTGGTTCGAATCCCGTACAGGCCTGAAATTTTTTTCAGGTCTGATTTTCACTATTGCTCAAATAGTGCTTTACTGCGAAGGATCGTGCACATATACGTAAACTCGGCAACTTGGCAAGTGCAGCCTTGGCTAAGGTTCGTTGAATACAGAGCTAAACTACAGTGATTATAAGCTACACAAGAGGAGATTGGTTAGGAATCCGACAGATTTCTTAGGTATATAGGTTTTAGGTCTTTTAGGTTTGACATTCCAATCATTTTGAACTGACTGACCGATAGAAACTTCCCATTAACTCTCTTTAGTCTCAAAGTGTAAAGTTAAAAGCAGATTGGTAGATTATTCACGGTTAGAGAACTCCCATCGCAAACTGCAACACCGTTATTTTTATCTTTTTGAATCTATGATTTATGCCAACTTTCCCGACCAGTCAACTCTTATCTGACTACCATAAGAAAAGTGCCAGTAGTCAGTAAACGTACCTGACTATGTCAACGTTTTGACATAGAAATAAAGTATTTTTTGCAAGTAATTGACTCCTTTTACACCTGCCTTCCGTTTGAAGTTTTAGTAGAGGTCTCCAGATGGCGGTTCCAAGGACGAATTCTACTTCCATCGGACATCTCAGGTGCTAAACAATTAACAGTCACCGTCATTACCAAAAGTTTGTAAACAAAAAATGATTGAACGGAATCCGAGTTTGCGTTGCTAGCACGCGATCGTTTAACCGGCCGGCCATGTTTGAGCTAATTAGAGTTAGAGTGCACGGCGTGGGGAAGTGGGGCGGTTAAAGACAAGACGAACCACACCCTCCACTCTCCTTCCTTTTTACCATTGCTCACTCCATCCCCCCCCCCCCTTCCTTGGTACACACCACTTTCTCTTCCCAGCCACCTGCTGTTGTAAAAATCAAAGAAGGTAGCTGCAATTTTCACCAAGTAAACACTGAGCATTCGCTCGCCCAAATTAAGTCTGATATATCACGCAACCGGCTTCAACGCATATTCGTCGGATGGGTTGCGTGACACTTCGAAGAAAGGCTTCGAGGGACTCGTAGGAAATCCAGCCCTGTGTAACTTTTTTAAGCTCTTAGTTCATACCTCACAGATCCTATATGACTCTGACCGAGAAATATACGTTTCCAGTTCCTGGCTGTAAAACTGGGTGTCGTTATTATAACCTCTAAAACCATTATTCATTGCTAACGGCTAGTTTCTTCAGATTTTCCAAAGGCATCAGTTTGCTGAAAGGACTGGGAAACATTACCTTCGAACTCGGTGACAAATGTATCAGCTTCGGGAGCAACTTTAGAATACCCGTACACCTCATTTACATGTGCCGCGAGGCTTTGAAGTTCGAGGCATAACACAATAGAAGCTATTCTTATTCAATGACATGTTAAAGAGCAGCCGGGTATTCTCCAGTTTAGCCTAGCTTCGTTCCAGGAGTAGAAAATTATTTAATTTTGTTTTGAATTTTTAAAGTACGTACTTGATTCCTAATAAGACAGCGTGCCTCCCTAAAGGCATTTAAGGAGAAACTAAGAGTCACATTCTTGCAAACAGATATTAGTTTTGATATAATTAGTCATATTAATGTAAATAGTCATTAGTTTTTGATATTATTAATCTGACGAAGTTATGTAAATAGATGCTGAAAAGCATAGGGAGTATCTATAAAGTTTTCTTTCTAATAACCGAAATGATTGTATTGGTTCCACATCATTGAGTTTTAATGAGAATTGAAACCACTATGAATTTTTTGTTTAAAAACGTTTTGATCTTTCCATTGCAGACCCTTTCCAGTTTGTTTCGTTGCCTTAGGTCGAGCAGAACTCTTAAGCAGGAAAAAATTATTGCCCAGACGTTTATATCAAAAGTTTGTGGGGGACAATTATCGTAAATAAGACATGTTTGCTGACAATTTGACGCAACTATATATGTGTACAACACGCCGAGTCAGTCATTCTTCAAACTTTTGAATACGCACGTACCATATAAATTCTTACCACCAATTTCAAGATCGTGTTTTCTTCGGTGGTGGAGAAGCCACGGCCCATCAACTCCTTACCAACGATCCTGAGGAGCAGGAAAATAGTGATGATAGGGGGTTACCCTGGGTGACAACTTCAGATGGAATATCAACACGCAGAAATGATAACCAAAGCGTCCATACGCCTGTACCTGTGGAGGGTATTAAAACGCGCAAGCATCTCTCAGCCACACCTCATTGTAATATATCAGGTCTGTTTTAGTATACGCCTCTCCTGTGTGGAGTAATAGCCTCCAGAAGTATCTCAACGACCACTTGAAACTCATCAGCAAGCGCGCCATGCGAATAATTTATCCATGTTATAGCTACGATTCAGCACTCTTGCGGAGTTGTATACCTCGTTTAGAGGAAGGGAGGCAGAGCGTTTCAAATCGATAACCTTTTGCACGACCTGTGACCCCGCTTCCCGCTTGTTCGAAAACGTCCCACCGCAGGGTGTATCGTTAACGTGTTGTAGAACAGGGCGCTTTAAATTTAGCTTATCCCCAGCGATGTCTTTCAAGCAAAGTTGCAAAATACTAGCGAAATATAGCAAAGTAAATTCATAATTTGTAATGCATTTTCCCCATGATTATCACGTGTAAAGGAGTTTACGAAAACAATTTTTCAAGGAATGGTAATCTCAGTCCTCTTGGAATCTTGAAACTTACTTGAAACTACACACCATACGTAATTTGTAAAATAGGTTTTTATTTTTTTTCTAATTGTAGACAAGGTATTATTATTTTATTTTTTCATGATAAACAAAACCGTTATTATAAACAAGTTTTGCTGACCATGTTTTGTTTTTAGGCCAGGAGAGCTTCTAGGAACTTAAAGTGTCTGATGATATTTGCCGGAAGCACTCAACTGAAAATGATTTGCATCTTAATTTCAAAACATAGGAGTATGATTTGAACAAAGAATAGAAAACTGCTTCTTCCCACTTTGTCAATATGATTTACGAGCCGTTCGTGTAGACAGCGAAATTATAATGATTTTTCTTCCACTTACTACATAAATCTTCGAACTTCAGTTTACAAAAGATAATAAAACGTATTAAATTTGCATTGTATATTTCAGAAAGGAAACGTCATGCTCAGCTTACGTTTGTCTGTGGCTGACAGAATTCACAGCAACAATGCTCAGCCATCATATTCATGGGTCCGGTGGGATTTCCTTGATAAATTCCAAAGCCTTTCCCATTTCCTCCCTGTTGAGCCGAGCTAAGCGATCCACTGCATCACAAATCATTTCCTCAATCTAGATAACCCACTGCAACTCTTCCTTTACGGCTCGGTTTTTCTCGTCATCAAACCAATCTTTGAAGAGGAAGTTCCCGCATTGAAGATTTTCAGCGTCAAACTGCTTCCATATGTTCTTGTTTCCGTGAACGCAATCAAAAATAATCCCTCGGGAACGGAACGGAGCATTTTCACTTCTTCCTCCCAGCAGACCAGTCGAAGATTTCCACCGTTCTTGTAGCCAAAGCCGTGATGAAAAATGCCTCTCCGGTCCAAGAAGCAAACCAGAGTCTTGGACTCGATGTCATCTTGTTTACAAAGCGTAACTCCATGCCCTATATCGCGAACTCTCTTACTCAAAATGTGCAGCAGATGCAAAGTATCCATCGTAAGTAAATGAAAATAAATGATGCAAAGGAAGTATGAAAGGAAAGTGAAAATAACCTCGTACCCATCGAAGGACTTGGCACTAGGTCTCTGTCGGCCCAGGTTCAGTTCCACTCTCCACCCCTCTAAGGTGAGAGAGGGCTCCAAGTCTCTTCGGCCTCGGCTCTTTCGATGTCACGCAACGCTCAAACGCTTCCTGTCCGGGGAGAGTTGGTTGACTTGGCAAACTATGGTTTCGAAGGAGTCTTGAGAAATTCAGCCACTTGTAACTTTTTCCAACTGTTAGCTCACACTTTGATCCGAATTTACCTTGAAAGGCCCGACGCTACTAACCGAGTAAAAGACAATTAAAAATCCTGGCCGTAAGCCTGGACGTCGATGCCTTACACTCTCAAAACTTTGCTCCCAAAATTTGACTTAATTGTGTCCGTATCCAGTCTTCATTACTTTGAGCTCATTTCTTAAGTTGAGTTAATTTCTCCATCGCATCAGATTGGTGAAAGGTCTGGTAAGCATTACCCTCGAGCGAGGTGACAAATGTATCACTTCGTTTTAAGAATTACAGATAATTTAATTTTGTTTTGACTTTTAGTGTGCTTGATTCCCATTAATTTTATGCAAAATCATGGTCTATGTCATTAAATTTTAATGATATAAACCACTTAAAATAATAATTAACCACTAAACGTACAAGCAAATATCCGGGACATCTAAAATAATCACGTCGGGGCAAGTCAGGGCTGTTTTCAGGGCTGTTTTCTTGGAAATCTGACGTCATAGTCAAGCGATACGGAGAAAGCATCCAAATCAGCAGAAAAACCGTATAAATTTGCACTTTGTTCGCGTAATATTCAGTGGAAGAAATCGAAGGCATATAAAGTTCGAAGGTGAGTTCTAAAGGCGAGTAATTTCGTAATTACACAGGTATGTTTCGTAATTTTGTCTGAATGACAAGTGTGATCTCTCTTTCGTCTTTTTAACTTACTGGTTTAATGCTAAATATGGATTCCAATGAGTTTCAACAAGTACTTATTTCAGTTTGTAACGTGTAATATCATATAGCTTTTTGGATGCTTTGTAGAAGCTTCGGTCGCGAAAAATCTTACTCTTTTCATATTTTCATCTTTAAAGGTGCATTGGTCAATCGATACTAAACATTCTTTTCGTTTCGTAGATATGACATCATCGGTGTAATTTTCTGAGAATTTTGTCTCGGAGAGCTCTATTAACTAGAACTGCAATTGTTCTCTTAATACCTACGATTTATGCCGCCGCAGTGTACAGATTTGACTCAGAATGCAGAAATCATTGTAGTTTTTTCGGGCTTCGTTAGTGCTACCAGTGCGGAGAGAATTACATAAACGAAAAAGTGCTTTCGTAAGACATTTTGTGCCCCAAGTGCAAATGTTCCTCGCATCCGGTTAACGTTGTCTTTGGAATTTTTTCGTAGCGCTCGAGAATTTCGTCGACTATATAGTATTGTGTCCACTGAATAGTTTGAAATTTCTCGTAATGTAATCATGGTTTGTAACAAAACATTACGCCTTCCGGTTTTGTAAAACCGTATAATTATTTATTGAGAATTTCCAACGCTGCTTTCATTTTGGGGTTCAAAGGCGAGTTTAGACATTTCAGGATAGTAGACTGTGTTTCGTAGGTATAACAAAATACAATATTCTGAGTTCAATAATTAGTGCTTCTTCGGGAGGTCTATGACATAGTCTCTAAAGCCCCTTTCATGATACGAAAGTAAACTGAACATTAAGGATTTTGGGGTTTTTCGCGCAGTACCCGTATATGTCACCAGCGTTAGATCCTTTCATGACTCTTAGTTTAAATCAAAGGAAATAACTTTCCCTTAAGCCTCAACTCAGTCGAAAGGGTATTACAAAAATTGTTTGCAATCGTGGTACTTCCGGCCTGATTTCGCTGAATAATCAGACTGAGTCTTTTTTAACGGGGGCAACAACTGAACAGTTTGGGCATGATGACACTGAATGTATCTCTCTCCTCCTTTTTCTATAACTTTTTTTTAGTAAACCATGAACCTTGTCTATGCCGAGACGTAGCTATTTTCATTCAAACTTCTTTCCTTACACCTTGTCCGTTGTGCATATCATGTTTCCTGTTTTCACTTTAATTCGGATTAAAGACCTTTGAATGTAAGTGTAAATTGCAACTATAAAGCTTTTTGTCTCTTAAGTTCTGATCATTCCCATTGCAGACCTATGCCAGTATGTTTGGCCACTATAGGTCGAGAGGAACTCTGGAGCAGGAGAAAACTATTGCCCAAGCGTTTGTGAAGTTTCTGGAGGACAGCGGTCGTAAGCAAGACATGCTTGTAATCCAATTGAAGAACATTTACCAAGGAGAATTCCGCTCTTTGAATCCCTCGTTTGACCGGAGTATTTCATTCTCCAGAGTTTTAAACGCTCTTACGTATCACTTAAATGTTTGCCAGCAACTTCAAGACCGTGTAATCTTTGGTGGTGGAGAAGCAGCAGCTCTCCAACTCCTTACCGACGATTCTGTAGAGCCACAGGAAAATGATGATCTTTGTTACCGCTCGCTCTCGAGCTTGAGGCCTTTCTATTGTGAAGTTTGTAAAAGAGGTCTTGGGAATGCAATGGCTTACCAGAAACACCTCGAAGGGGTGAAACATCGCCAACAGAAAATCCTCATAACGATTCGAAAATCACTAAAAAAGTAAGCTCTTTGCTTTCTAACATTCAAAGATATTCCATTGTTGTTGATATTTATTTCGTTCCTAAAGAGAGTCAGGGAAAACTAGTTACACTTCCAGCAAAATTACTAAAAAAATATTTGATTTACTAAATTATTTCCTTAAACTGCATGATAAAGTAATGATTGCTTTCGCGGTAAGACTAAAGTTTTGTTTTAGTTTCGAGAAAGCTTACATGTGAAGGCACAATTTGGACGTCAGTGTTAGGACATACATGATTTTAAATTGTTTCTTCCATAACTGTTCCTAATACGGGATGTAAGTTTCCCCTACTGCTCTCCTCTCATGACTAACCCCCGTTTTCACCCTTTTATTAACTATTCATATAGATTTACAAGATATCGAGGAATTAAATCAGATTGAGGATCAAATCTGATCTGTTTTTTGAAAGGTTATTAAAGTAAGGGGTGATATTTATCAAGTAAGTGAAACAGCAAACCTGAAAAAAACTTTTAGATGATTCTCAGGTAAACAATAACTTTTTCCTGTCTTGTTCGCAGACCAGAGCTTGTCTTTGACAAAAATGGGATAAGGGTTACTTCAGATCCCGCTGGAGATGAACATGGTGTGATAGAATTGAAAGTTGAGAGTGGAACATATGGGCAGATTGTGTTGATTATAGAGAACCTCAGTGAGGAGATCATCACCCTGAAGGACATCACTCTGCTGTGGAGTGTCAACTTTTTTGACTACAGGGAAATATCCAGTATTGGACCTGATGAGGGTCAACTCTACCCAGGTAAATTCTGACCTGTTCTCTACAACTCTTAGGTAATTTACATTTTCTTTCATTGTTGCTATGATATTAGAGAAATATTAGAAAAGGAAGATAATTTTACGGTGAAGAGGGAGTTATCCATAGGATGGATGTATTTATATGATATATATATATATATCTTATATATCCGGTTATTTGCATTTTGACTCGCCCTACGGGCTCGTCAAAATACGGCACAACTCGTAAAAATACTCAGCGATGCTACACAACAAAACGTCTAATAAGTTATTTATTATCCAACACGTTAAACTGTTATTTCAGTGTGGGCGAATTTCGCGGATATTTATTTACGGGGAGTGCGTGACAGAAGTATGCGAAGCGGAACGGAATTGGCGCGTTGTCGTGTTTCTCTTTCTAGTTTCTTCAATAAATAAAGAAATTTCCTGGTCGTCTAGCTGTTTTTCTTCGTTCGATTCATCTAATAAACTTGGATCTATATTTGCCAGCCATTCTGACTCTTCGTCGTCGGAAATATGATTAAATTCAAATTGTCCGCCATTTTTTTTTTCGTAACTGCAACCAATTCTTCGCTTGCGCGATGCGAGAAAACCTGTTTAACCGGTA